GTAAGCAAATGTGAAAACACACCCTATGTAGCCTTTCCCAGGCGGCTGCCAAAGTTGGGAGGGGGAAGGTCCTGGCGCTTGAGGTCAAGGCCATCTCCTGTGTTGCCCAGCGGCCATTGTGGTCAAGCAGGTACTGCTGGGCTGGAAGGTGATGATCATGTGTTGAGAGGGCATCAACATTTCTGGCATTTTCTACAGAAACAAGTTAAAGTACCTGGCCTTCCTCTGCAAGCAGACGAACACCAATCCTTTCTGAAGCCTCTACCATTTCCAAGACCCCAGCCACCTCTTTTGGTGGACCATGTAAAGCATGCTGCCCCACAAGGTCAAGTGAGGCCAGGTTACTTTGGACCACCTCAAGATGTTTGATGGGATTCCATTTGCCTATGACAAGAAAAAGTGGATGGTGGTTCCTCCTGCCCTCAAGGTTGGACGCCTGAAGCCTGTGAGAAAGTTTGGCTCCCTGGGGCACCTAGCTCATGATGTGGAGGGAGTACCAGGCTGTGACACCCACCCTGGAGGAGAAGAGGAAGGAGAAGTCTAAGATCCACTACTGGAAGAAAAGACAGCACACGAGGCTACAGAAACAGGCCAAAAAGAACGTGGGGAAGAAAATTGACAACCCAGAGGTCCTCAACACCCATGGACTCCTGGTCTGAGCCCAGTAAAGACCTGTTTATTCCTCATGCTTGGCCTCGCCTGCCTTTATTTCTATGCCTTTCTATAAGGTTACTTTAAGCCCCTCTAACAATTGTGCAGACATAATTTGTCTATGACCTACTTGTTCATGAAAGAATTTTAGAAGATCAATAATGAGAACAACCAGCTACTTTGGTTTCAGTAGTGGCAAAAGGGAGCTGGAACACTGTGTGGAGGGGAACTCTACCTTGTGAATAAGCATCTGTTTCAACTTCCCACCTGGTCACATACTATACTCTGAAGATGTTAGAATGTGAAACAGCGCTTGGGGGACAGCATGAGTTTGCTGTTGTACAACAGTTATTTATAGACGCATAGACTGGGAACATATGCGACCAAGGGGTTGTTATAGGCGTCGCCCTTGCTCTTTCCCTGTATTTTGTGATCAGAATTAAATAAATTACTTTTAAAGGGAACAAATACACACACTTAATTTTTAAAAAGCCTTATAAATAAGTCATATCTTATTAGTAATGTCTTACGATAGGCCTTTGGTGATTAAAAACTTTTTTCTTTCATTGTTTTTGGTATTCTTAACATTTTAAATATATGAATATGTAGAGTGGTACATTTATAGTGAATAAAAAATACCTTTTTGCAGTACAGTAGCCATTGAGTATTGCTGGTCCTCAAGTAGCATTTCTTGAAACATGCCTGTGTTTGATAGTATAGAAATAATGTGGCATTCATTTTTTTTAAGTTACTAACTCACATTGTGTACTGAATGCATGTGGAATATACTTTTTTTTTAAAGGAAAAACTACATACACATTTTTGGCAGTCTCTCTGTAATGGAAGAACCTTTTGAAACTTAAAAAAATCAAATGTATCTAATTTATAAATTCTTGTCGAATTTATAAATTCTTATCTACTTAAAGTGGAGCACACTGGATTTGTGTTGGTTTCTTTAGTTTATTTTCTCCGGTATACCACCCTTTGTTCATCATCATAATAATATGGATCTTTAAATGCTGTTTAAGAATATTATAAAGTTATTGGCTGGATGCGGTGGCTCATACCTGTAATCCCAGCACTTTGGGAGGCCAAGATGGGCGGATCACCTGACATCAGGAGTTTGAGACCAACCTGGCCAACATCGTGAAACCCCTGTCTCTACTAAAAATATAAAAATTGGTTGGGCATGGTGGTGCATGCCTGTAATCGCAGCTACTTGGGAGGCTGAGGCAGGAGAATTGCTAGAACCTGGGAGGCGGAGTTTGCAGTGAGCTGAGACCACACCACTGCACTCTAGCCTGGGCGACAGAGCCAGACTCTGTCTCAAATAAAAAAGTATTATAAAGTTATTATATGTGAATTTTATGGCACTAAATTATACATTGGGATACTAAGTTTCTTTCTTTTAAAAAATTTAAAAAAAATTATAAATGGGATATTGGTCAGTTTCCCAGGCTGGTCATGAACTCCTGGCCCCAAGCGATTCTCCCACCTTGGACTTTAATTTTCTGAATAAGTAAATTAACATTCATTTACCTTCGATCTGCTTTTGCTTCTTTTTAGCTGAATCTAAAATTTATTTGAAAATGCAAAGGGCCAAAAGAGGCAGGACAGTTTTGAGGAACTTTATGAAAAAAATCCAACCAGATATCAAGACTAGTATCAAACTGTGTAATAAGACAGTATAGTATTGGTACATGATTAGATAGCTAGAGCACTGGAATAGATGAAAGAGCTAGAGAAGTCTGTATTTGATATATTCCTACTTTATATACAGTAGGATTCTACAAACATGTAGATGTTTGGCCAAGTGAATGCTGTTAATAATATGTAAACTTCATCGATCAAACATTTATTACTTCAACTAAAAAAATAAGGAGCTAAAAAAAGACCCACATATTTATGCATTTTTGATTTGTAATAACAGTGGACTTTTTTGTTGTTGTTGTTTATTGAGACGGAGTTTCACTCTTGTTACCCAGTCTGGAGTGCAATGGTGCTATCTCGGCTCACTGCAACCTCCGCCTCCTGGGTTCAGGCAATTCTCCTGCCTCAGCCTCCTGAGTAGCTGGGATTACAGGCACACGCCATTGCGTCCAGCTAATTTTTTGTATTTTTAGTAGAGACGGGGTTTCACCATGTTGACCAGGATGGTCTTGATCTCTTGACCTCATGATCCACCCGCCTTGGCCTCCCAAAGTGCTGGGATTATAGGCTTGAGCCACTGCGCCCGGCCCGACATTTTTTATAGTATAGAAAGGGTAATCCTTTCAGTAAATTGGCAGGACAGTTGGATATCTATTTCTCCTCCCTGCTTTTCTCTCTTTGTGTCTGTCTGTCTGTCTCTACATGTGTTTCTCTCATGTGTGTGTGTGTGTGTATATGAAAATAGGAAACTTGTCCACTACCTCACATCATACACAATTTTTTTTTTTTTATAGATTGATAGTAGATATAAATGTGAAAAACAAAATGGTAAAGTTTCTAGAAGATAATTTTGGGATATAGAAAGAATAAGATTTCTTTGATATAACACAGAAAGCACTACCCTTAGAAGAAAACATTGACACATTTTGGTTCCTTAAAATGGATAGCTTTTGTTTATCAAAAGACGTAAGAGAAGATAAATTATAGAGAAGGAGAAGGTATTTCCAACACATAATACTTGGCTGTAGGCTCATTTCCAGAATGCATAAGGAACTACAGATTGATGAGGAAAGAGTCAATAAATAGAAAAATGGGCCATCAGAGGATATCCAAATGGTCAGTGCATACATGAAAAGATTCCTATGAAAAATCCAGTGGGATACTGCTTATTTACTGGATTGGCCAAATAAATAGACCAACAGTATCAGAAGCATGCAGAGTAGGTTTTGTAGAAGTTGATACATATGGACAGGATCACGACGATCTCTTTTCATTTGACTTCTGTTTGGATTTTACTAAGGGATGTAGCAGCAGGAAGTTAGAGGGTAGAAGAGAGTGAGATCAGATGGGATGTTCATTTCCCTAACTCATTCCCTGCTGAGTCACTTAGATCTGTGGCCCTCTTTCTTTCCAAGGTCAGTTTCTTTGAAGGACCTTGGGTATAGCCATCCTTTCTAGTTTTTGGTTATTACTTCCATGTTCTCTTTTTGGTTTGTGGTTGGTAATGACTCTTGCTTTTGCTAGCCTCAGAGAATGGCACTCTGTAGTTGTTTTCTCAAGATCTTGTCTAAATCCTTGTAAATGGCCCTTTATTAAACTCTCAACCCTAATGTAAACGTGTATTTTCTACAAGGTCCTCAATTTTCTTTCAATACAAAAATATGCAATGTGGCGCAGGGTATTACAACATCAGCACTGTTGACATTTTTGTCTAGATGGTTCTTTGTTGTCAGGGACTGTCCTGTACAGTGGTGTAGGATGTTTAGTCACATCTCTGACTTCTAGCTGCTAAATGACAGTAATACTCCTGTAGTTTTGATAACTAAAAATTTATGTAGGTATTGCCAAATGTTCCCTTTGGGACAAAATTGTCCTTGATTGAGAACATCTACTCTAGAGTTTTAGTTAACCTCACATTATATATTATTTCATTCAACAGATATTTACTAGATGTTTATTGTATGTAAGTCATTGTTCTTAGAAATGAATTAGACATCTCAATTAAGTATACAATTTTGCCATATTTATATAATGGGAATTACTATGTCAGCATTAAAAATGATGGTAAGAATAATATTCATAGCATGGAAATTTGTCCATAAATGTTAAGTTAAAAAGCAGACTGCAAAGTACAATGTATACTGCAACACTCTTCATTTAAAAACATTCATTTAACAAGTACATTTATGCATAAAGTCTAGATGGATTAGCCATTAAACTGTTAATTGTGATTCTTTGGATGCTCCCATTTTCCTCTGAATATTGTAATGTGTTTTCTAAGATTGTTGCGTTGAATTTTATAATATTTATAATCCAAAAGTTATAGCCAAAAAAGAAAATATTAGGCTTTTATCTTTAAAATTTATTTTAAAATGAACATACCTACATGTATAAATGACCATGTGAGAGAGTGATTAGTGCCTCAGAATGGACATAATATGTCATTAGGCTTTTAGACAATTTGAGTTTATTTGTAGCTGGATAAATTAATTAGGATTAAATAGAGGAGATAAGGTTGATTTAAGACTCTGAGCGATATGCATAGAAGAGTGTATTTCAGAAAGAAATACTAATATAGGCAAAGGCACAGGTGTAGAAAAGTGCCAGATATTGTGTTAATTTAGTTTTGGAATCAGTTTCTCTCCAACTGTGTGTTTTATATTTATTTTTAAATTATTTTGTCCTTTTTCTTCATAAAGGTTTGAAATTGAAATTGAACCCATTTTTGCAAGTTTAGCTTTATATGATGTCAAGGAAAAGAAAAAGGTAAGATTACATAATTTGACTATAGTCATTTGTCATAATCATAGGTTTCAGAAACCTGTTTGTTTTATAAGATTGATTCTTTTGAGAATTATTAAACAGATCTTTTTAAAAAGGAAATAGAAATTTAATTTATTAGGACTAGTTAAATATTTTCTTATTATAAATTACTGTAATTGAAAACAGGTTATTGTTTTACTGAATTCTAAAAGCAAATAGCAGAAGCAACTTTAAGAAATAGAAAAGACAGGCCGGGTGCTGTGGCTCAAGCCTGTAATCCCAGCACTTTGGGAGGCCGAGGCGGGTGGATCACGAGGTCAAGAGATCGAGACCATCCTGGTCAACATGGTGAAACCCCGTCTCTACTAAAAATACAAAAAATTAGCTGGGCGTTGTGGTGCGCGCCTGTAATCCCAGCTACTCGGGAGGCTGAGGCAGGAGAATTGCCTGACCCCAGGAGGCGGAGGTAGCGCTGAGCCGAGATTGCGCCATTGCACTCCAGCCTGGGTAACGAGAGCGAAACTCCGTCTCAAAAAAAAAAAAAAAAAAAAAAAAAAGAAATAGAAAAGACAATATGAGAAAAGCACTTTGGGCAGGCAGTACATAAAGATATGAATGACAATGACAGTGAATTTTTATTGACGTGATTTTCAAATCTCACCAGCTAAAAGATAATTTTTGTGTGTTTTAAATATTCTATTTTAATCATCTTAGTTTTATAATATCTTTATTAAGTCAGAAGGTTATCTTACAACATTTCTTAATTTAATATGCTAAGACTTCATATTTAGTAGAAACTTGAAGTGCTGGCTGGTTGCTTGTGGCTCACATCTGTAGTCATAGCACTTTGGCAGGCCAAAGTGGGAGGATTGCTTGAGGCCAGGCGTTCAAGACCAGCCTGGGCAACATGGTGAGACCTCTCCCCATTGCTACTAAAAACAATTTGAAATGAAGAAAAAAAAGGAAACTTGAAGTGCCTTCAGTGACTTCTGCTGCCAACACAAGACGTATTATGGATTTCTTTAATGGAATTCTGCTCTAGCAACTTGTATATGCTAACTTGAAACTGCTGAGATATTATTCATATAATTTTTTAAAAACTAAATTTGGAATCCATCATTACAATGATAATTTCTTTGTATACTTTATTAGAGGTTACATTTTTAATTAAAGGAATTTGGAATATGATTGTTTAGAATATGTTTATCTCCCAAGTAGCTTGTATACTTCTTTTTTTTTCTATTATTTTTTTCTTGTTTTGTTGTATACTTCTTTTACTTTGATTTAGGTATGTAAAGATTGGTCTCAGTGAAATATAAACTTTACATTATATTATAATATCCTACAATCTTTAGATAAATAAGTAATGATTTCTTTTGAGAATTATTTAACATGAATGTTTTTTTTAAAAAATAGAAACTTACTAGGATGAGTTAAATGTTTTCTTATTATAATTACTGTAATTGAAAACAGTTTATTGTTTCATTGAAAGAATTCTAAAAGCAAGTAGTAGCAGAAGCAACTTTCTTTTAAGAAATAGAAAGAAATAGAAAAGATCCTGTAAAATGTACAGATTTTAAAATTTAACGTATTAATATTTTTTAGATTTCAGAAAACTTTTATTTTGACCTTAATTCTGAGCAAATGAAAGGATTGTTACGTCCACATGTACCACCTGCTGCCATTACCACCCTGGCAAGATCAGCAATTTTTTCTATCACTTATCCTTCCCAAGATGTTTTTCTTGTAATAAAGGTGAGAATAATGTTCAATATATTTGTTTATTTTGTAGTGTCAGTCAGTATTGTAAACTTTTCAAGGGCAAAGATTTGACCTTTCTTTTTTTTAATCTTGATATTCTTTAACACAATATTGGACATTCACTGTAGGTGCTACCTAATTTTTCTTGAACTCTGTATTAGAATTCTTCAGTGAAAAAGAACTAATAGGAATATATAGGTTTTATATCTGTTTTGATTATTGAAGTTTTTAAATAACTTTTCATATTAGGAAGTATGAGACTTTCAACTTTGTTCTTTTTTCCCTAAATTTGTTTTGATTATTCAGGGTCTCTTGAGATTCCCTATGAATTCTAGGATAGGTTTTTCTATTTCTGCAAAAAAAAGAAAAGAATCATTGGATTTTGATAGGGTTTGCATTAAACTAATAGATTGCCTTGGGTAGTGTTAACATCTTAATGATAGCAAATCTTTTTAATCCATGAACACAGGATGTCTTTTCATTTATTTGTGTCTACTTTAATTTCTCTCAGCAATGTTTTGTAGTCTTCAGTGTGTATAGATCCTTACATCCTTGGTTAAGTTTATTTGTAAGTATTTTACTCTTTTTGATGGTACTATAAATGAAAAAATTTTTTAAATATCCTTTTTGGATTCCTTATTGTTAGTATGTAGATTTGGTATCCCGTAACTTTGTTGAATTCATTTACTAGTTCTAACAGTTTTTTTGGTGCGGAATCTTTAAAATTTTTTTTACATAAAAGATCATAGCATTTGCAGACATAATTTTACTTCTTCCTTTCCAATTCAGATGCTTTACTTATTTTTCTTGTTTAGTTCTCAGGCTTGTGCTTCCATTACTATGCTGAACAGGTGAAGCTAAAGTGGGCATCCTTGTCTCATTCATGATCTTAGAGGAAAAGCTTTCAGTCTTTAACTGTTAAGTGTGATGTTAGCCTTTATTATGTTGAGGTAGTTTCTTAGCATTTCTAGTTTGTTGAGTGTTTCTGCCATGAAAGGGTTCTGAATTCTGTCTAATGTTTGTTCTACATCAATTGAGATGTCTTGTATTTTTTTCAGTCATTCTGTTAATGTGTTATATTGATTTTCATATATTGAACCACCCTTGAATTTCAGGCTTTTTAAAGCTGAATCTTAACTTTTTTTGCCTTTGACAGCTAGAAAAAGTTCTACAGCAAGGAGACATTGGAGAGTGTGCAGAACCATATATGATTTTCAAAGAAGCAGATGCCACCAAGGTAGAATATAATGCTTCTCATTTCCCCCGTATTATTACTGTTGTAATTTGGGAGAATACTATACAAAGCATATTAAAGAATTTTACTAGACCTATATTTTTTTCTGTTGGCCCCACTTTGTATCTTCCTTTCTTCTTTAATTCATTTATCACCTAGACTGTATCATATGCTGTGGTATTCTTTAAAAATCTCTTCTAGGCTGGGCACAATGGCTCATGCCTGTAATTCCAGCACTTTGGGAGGCTGAGGCGGGTGGATCACGAGGTCAAGAATTCGAGACCAACCTAACCAACTTGGTAAAACCCCGCCTTTACTAAAAATAACAAAAATTAACCAACCGTGGTAGCTGGCACCTGTAATCCTAGCTTCTCAGGAGGCTGAGGCAGGAGAATTGCTTGAACCCTGGAGGAGGAGGTTGCAGTGAGCTGAGATCATTCCGTTGTACTTCAGCCTGGGTGACAAGAGCAAGACTCTGTCTCAAAAAAAAAAAAAAAAAAAAAAAGAGGAACAAAAAATCTCCTCTGTCTTAAAACTAGCTGATTCTTTACATTTTTTTCTTTGTGGAGAAAATTCAGTTTAACTCCTAAATAATGAAAGGTTTTCTTTATTTACAAAATAGTGATACTGATAGAACTTTTCCTAGAAAAATAGAAGTATTCCTGGCTTCCATCTGACTGCAGATTATTAAGGATTAGAGTAAAAATATAAAATAATAGTCTTAAAAAAAGAAAATCCAGCTTTTTTGGCCATCAGTTGGCTAATTTCTAGATTCTTTTTTCTTTTGAGATGGAGTCTTGCTTTATTGCCGAGGCCGGAGTCCAGTGCCGTGATCTTGGCTCATTGCAACCTCTGCCTCCTGGGTTCAAGCTGTTCTCCTGCCTCAGCCTCCCAAGTAGCTAGGATTACAGGCATGCACCACCACACCCAGCTACTTATTGTATTTTTAGTAGAGATGTATTTTCACCATGTTGGCTGGGCTGGTCTCCAACTCCTGAACACAAGTAATCCACCTGCCTCAGCCTTCCAAAGTGGTGAAATTACAGGTATGAGCCATCATACCAGCCTAGTTTCTAGAATGTGTATAAACTTATACAAGCAAAAAAATTGTTGAATAATTGATAATAAATTTCAGATACTCTGCATTAGCTACAAGAATACAAGTGATCTTTGGACGTTTGAACACAAGAGTTAATACTGGAACTTCTGGGCTAAGTATGCTTGAGGAATGCTGGGTGACCTGCCCAATCCCAGAAAATGTTTTGCTATTTTCCCAAGATTCAGAACATCTTAATGATAGCAAATCATTAAGAGTAGCAAATTATTAAGAAGTGAACTTTTTCTGTAGATTTGAGCACATATCTTTTTTCTTGATCCTTGATTAGCTGGCTGAACTCATGGTGGAAATACAGTATTCTGGCTGTCCCCAGGTTGTCATTTTACAAATTAAATTTGGTCTGTTACATGGTGCTCTTAAATATACTAGCAGCTTATTCCACTCTTTACTTACATATTAACATAAACTGATAGAATTAAGTATACTTGAGGTATACTTAAAAGAAGAACAGTTTTAGATATAATAGAGATAGTAATAAATAGTGCTATTTAGTTACTGTTCTTTTTTTTTTTTTTTTTTAGCCCTGAGTCCCAAGGTAGGACACTGTCATTAGTGTATACTTCACCAGCATCCCATCTGCAAAGAGTATATGAGAGGTCGTGTAGGTTTTCAGTCTTAGAGTGTTGATTGGCTTTTGCAGGACACCTTTATGTTTGTTTCAGGAGTAGCCTAAAAGTTGAGCCAGCCTCAGGATGTCTTCCAGATATGCTTGTACTATTGAATATTTGACGATTAGTCTTTTTCCAGCATTTAGTCTTCTTCTAAAACTTTACTTTCCTTCTTTTGGTACAACTCTGAGCTTGTTTATCATTGGGCTATTTGTGCTTCTCCACTCTTATACCTCATGGTTGTTATAAGTTAGGAACTATTTTAAAGTTGCTCAGCTACTTCCATCTTTTATAGAGTAACAAAATTTAACAAATTACAACCTGGAATATTTTGTAGTTACCAGTTGCTGACTAGACCATAGTTATGCTTCCTTCCTTAAATAATACTTGGCAATACATAATACATGTTTGGTACTTAAATAATAATTGCAATATATAATACAGAATAACATAATCACAAACAAATTTCAAAGACCTGCTCTGCACGTACATTTGTAGAATGTGTTGAGTTTGTTCACTGGTTAAGATGTTACACTAATACTTGATCTCTGTAACGTACAGATTGTTTTTTCATCTTTGCTGAGAATTGAGACTTCTCATCCTGTTCCTTTATGTAGTATGAAATAGCCTTTAATTGATTTCTTTCAAGTGTAATCATATAATGTATAAAGCTCTGTTTTGCAGAATAAGGAAAAACTGGAGAAACTGAAGAGTCAAGCAGATCAATTTTGCCAAAGACTTGGGAAATATCGCATGCCTTTTGCTTGGACTGCAATCCATTTAATGAATATTGTTAGCAGTGCTGGGAGTTTGGAAAGAGATTCTACTGAAGTAGAAATCAGTACTGGAGGTAAGAGTGTTTTATACAAAACATTTCTAAATGTATGCTTTTTTCTTTTTTTTGAGATGAATCCTCCCTCTGTGGCCTAGGCTGGAGTGCAGTGACAGAATCTCGGCTTACTGCAACCTCTGACACTGGGATTCAAGGATTCTCCTGCCTCAGCCTCCTGAGTAGCTGAGATTACAGGTGTGCGCCACCATGCCTGGCTAATTTTTTATTTTTAGTAGAGATGGGGTTTCACCATGTTGACCAGATTGGTTTCGAACTCTTGACCTCAAGTGATTTGCCCATCTTGGCCTCCCAAAGTGCTGGGATTATAGGCGTGAGCACCACACCTGGCCTCTTTTTTTAAATATAGGCTTGTTTCATTTGCAGACTCTGCAATGTAATATTGCATCAAAAGGATTTTCTTTTTTTTTTTTTTTTTTTTGCCTTTTTCTCATTTAACACCATTATTAAGATATAATTCACATACCATGTAAGTCACCCATTTAAACTGTACAATGCAGCAGGTCTTCAAATATCTCATTTTGTTTTTGATTTTTTACAATGTGATGAGGAAAAGAATTGATTCTTGGCTGGAGCTACTGTCTGTGTAGAGTTTGCATGTTCTCCCCATGTCTCTGTGGGGTTTTTTGGGGTACTTGTTTCCTCCCACATCCTAAAGCTATGCACATGAAGTGAATTGGCATTTCTAAGTGGTAGCAATGTAAGGTAATGTGGGGGTGTGTGTGTATGAGTCCACCTATGATGGAATAGTGTCCTGTCCAGGACGGGTTCCTGCCTGTCGTGCTGGACCCTTGTTGACTTCAGTATACATAGCACCATATTAGAGAGGCCGAAGAAGAGATGCAGAACCAGAGAATGAGACATAGGGTTTACTGAAGGAACTTACATACAGAGTGGTGAGCTGGACAGGAGAACCACAGCCACTTGAAAAAGCATGCAGTTGACATAGCATTTTCACTTAGCATCCTCCCGCTGGCAATCTCCACCTGGAAACCCTCATTTAATCCAAAACAAAGGGCTTGGATTCCATATATGGCCTGGATTTCACTAGATGGGCTAGTGGTTCAGATGTCCTTATCCTTATAGACAAGGAATGAATCTTCAAGTTTGGCCATTCCCAGGTTCCTTAGCCTGGAACTCCTCCGAACACACATTCTTTTTAGACCATAGGGTCATTCTCAGTGTTTGACCCTATGTCATTTAAGTTATTTCTGTCAGGTGCATTTGCCATATACTGCTTTCTTTTCTGAGCTGCTGGAACAGGCTTTGGCCACTTGTGACCCTGAACTGGGATAACTGGGCAAATAATTATTTTATTTTATTTATTTATTTTATTTTGAGACGGAGTTTCGCTGTTGTTACCCATACTGGAGTGCAATGGCACGATCTCTGCTCACCGCAACCTCCGCCTCCTGGGTTCAAGCAGTTCTCCTGCCTCAGCCTCCCGAATAGCTGGGACTACAGGCGCATGCCACCATGCCCAGCTAATTTTTGTATTTTTAGTAGAGTTGGGGTTTCACCTCGTTGACCAGGATGGTCTCGATCTCTTGACCTCGTGATCCACCCGCCTTGGCCTCCCAAAGTGCTGGGATTATAGGTGTGAGCCACTGCGCTTGGCCATCTTATTTTTATTAATCTTTCTTAAATGTATGTATAGTTCACATTTATTTGAATGTTTAATATTAGAAGTGTTTTGAGTGTTTGTTTAGAAGTTTGATGAAGTTTTTGTGACCAGAAATGTGCTATAGGAACTTAACTCTTGCTTATATCAATAAACATATGGTAAAATTGATTTGTTATATAACGTGTTGCTTAAAGTCACAGTTTCTAAGACAGATTCATGATGTTAAATGAGGACTTACAGTGTTTTCTTGGTATATTAACAAGGTTCTGCAACCACTACCACAGAACATTTCTGTACCCAACTTGGAACACTTTTGTACCCATTAGTAGTAGTCACTCCTCATTCCCCCAGAGTCTTCCAACTTGTCTGTAAACAACCTTTAATATATATTCTGTCTCTGTGGATTTGCCTATGCAAGACATTTCATACAAATTTCAGATTATGTACATAATATGTAGTCTTCTGTGGCTAGCTTCTTTCACTTACAATATTTTTCAGATTCATCCATGTTGTAGCATGTATTGATATTATTTCTTTTTCTTGCCAAATGATAGTCTGTTGTATTAATGTTTATTTATCAGTTGATTTGGGTTGTTTTCTACTTTTAGTTTATTATGAATAATGTTTCATAGTGTTGAAACTTCATGTACAAGCTTTTGTGTGGGCATTTTTTTTTTCACTAGATATATAGCTAGGAGTAAAATTACTGGTCATATGATAATTCTGTGCTTAATCTTTTGAGGGACTGCTACACTGTTTCCAGTTCAGCTGCACCTTCAAAGATTCTGCTACCGTTCCACTAGTGTGTGAAGGTTCCAGTTTCATCATATCTTTACCAATTCATTACACTATCTGTTCTTTGATTATAGTCATTCTAGTGCAGATGAAGTGGTACTCGTTGTAGTTTGGATTTACTTTATCTTAATAGCTAGTGATATTAAGCATCATTTTGTGTGTATTGGCTATTTGTTTCTCTTTCTTGGAGAAATAGGTATTTTTAATGGCTTTGCTCATTTTTAATGGCTTTTTGGGCTATTATTATTTATTAATAGTTGATGCCTAATATTTAAATGGGGTTTAACCTTCTTGGCATTGAGTTATAGGAGTTCTTTATATGTTCAGGATGCAAATCCCTTACCTAATATATGATAGCAAATATTTTCTCCTAGTTTGTGAGTGTACTTTTCTTGATGGTATTGTTTGTAACACAGAATTTTAAAATTTTGATGAAGTTACATTTTTTCACTTTTTTTCTTTTGTGACTGTGCTTTTGGTGTTTTATCTAAGAAACCATGATATAATACAAATCAAAATTTACTTGTATGTATTCTTGTAAGAGTTTTGTAGTTTCAGCTGTTACATTTAGATTTATAATTCATTTCGAGTTAAGATTTGTATGTTTTGAGGTAGGGATCCAATTTCATTCTTTTTATGTGGATATCCAGTTGTTTCAGCACCATTTATTAAAAAGGCTGTTCTTTTCCTATGTAATTGTCTTAGATCCCTTACTGAAAGTCAATTGACCATTCAAGTATCAGTTTTTTTCTGGACTCTCAATCCCATTCCATTGATCTATATGCCAGTGCTGTACTGCAGGGGTTCCTAACCCCCAGGTGGCGGACAGATACCTGTCTGTGGCCTGTTGGGATCTGGGCCATAGAGCAGGAGGTGAGTGGTGGCTAAACGAGCATTACCACCTGAGCTGTGCCTCCTCTCAGATCAGCCGTGGCATTAGATTCTGGTAGGAGTTTGAACCCTATTGTGAGCTGTGCATGCAAGGTTGTATGGACCTTGTGTGACTCTAATGATAAATGTAATGTGCTTGAATCATTCTGAAATGATCCCCCCACCCTCATCTGTGGAAAAATTGTCTTCCATGAAACCAGTCCTTTGGTGCCAGAAAGGTTGGGGACTGCTGCCATACCATATTACTTTTCTTTTAAAGTAAGTTTTGAAATTGAGAAGCATGGGTCTTCCAGCTTTTATACTGTTTCAAGATTTGTTTTGGCAATTTTGAGTTTCTTTTATTTTAGTATAGAGTTAGGACTAACTGTCAGTTTTTACACAAAGGCAGCTGGGATTTTGATAGGGCTGACATTGAATCTCTAAGTCAATTTATAGATTATTGCCATTTTAACAGTTTTAAATCTTTGAATCTATGAACATGGATTTTTTTTCATTTATTTAAATATTTTTCAATGTTGTGTCATTTTCAGTGTACAAGTGCTTCTCTTGTTAAATTTATACCCTAGAATTTTGTATTTTTTGATAATATTTTAAATGGAATTGTTTTCTTAATTTTGTCTTTAAAATGTCCATTTTTCGTGTATAGAAATAAAATTGACTTTTGTATATGATCTTGTATTTTGAAACCTTTTTTGAATTTGTTTACTAAATTCCAATTGCTACTGTTCATTTTTTCCCCGATTTTTTAGGATTTTTCTGTATACAAAATCATGTCATCTGCAAATAAAGAGATTCACTTTTCTTTTTCAGCCTTGGTATCTTTTATTTCTTTTTCTTTTCTGTCTTTATTAGAACCTCTTCTAAAATGTTAAATAGAAATGACAAGAGTGGATATCCTTGTTTTGCTTTTGACTTTAGGGAAACTGCATTCAGTCTTCCATCATCAAGTATGATATTTGCTGTTGGCTTTTCAAAGATGTGTTTTGGTAGATTGAGGAAGTTTTCTTCTATTCCTAATTTTTTAAAGTGTTTTTATCATAAACATTTGTTGGATTTTCTAAAATACTTTTTCTGCTTCTATTAAAATTATTTGTTCTGTATCCTTTTAATGTGGTGTTGCATCAAATGATTGGTTTTGGATGTTAAATTAACTTTAAATTCCTGGGAAAAGTCCTGCTTGGTTATGGCATGTAATCTTTTTTATGTGTTGTTGGAGTCTGTTTACTAGCATTTTGTTTAGGATTTTTGCACCTATATTCATAAGGTATATTGGTCTATAGTTTTTCTTTCTTTTGATGCCTCTGTCTGGTTTTGGTATCAGGGTAATACTGGCCTCATAGAATGAGTTGTGAAGTGTTCCTTCCGTTTTTTGGAAGAGTTTTTGAAGGATTGGTATTAATTCTTTGAAAGTTTGGAAGAATTCACCAGTGAATCTGTCATGGCCTGGTCTTTTCTTTGTGGTAAGTTTTTTCATTACTAATTCGATCCTTTACTTGTTTTAGGTCTATTCACATTTTCTCTTTCATCTTGAGTCAGTTTTAGTATTAAATACTTTGTGTCTTTCTAGAAATTTGTCCATTTCATCAAAGTTATCTAGTTCGTATCTAATCTAAGTGTTGACCTAGTTGTTCATAGTATTGCTGTATATTCCTTTTACCTGGTAAAGTCTGTAAATGGTATCTCTTCTTTCATTCCTGATTTTAGTAATCTGAGTCTTTTTTTTTTTTTTTGGTTCATCATTTTAGCTAAAGGTTTTGCTTTATCTTTTTGAAGAAACGGTTTTTGGTTTAATTGATTTTTCTCTATGGCTTTTATAGTTTCTATTTCCCTTATTTCCAGTCTGCAGTTGTCTCTTTTATAGCCTTCTCTTGGCTTTGGATTTAGTTTCTCTTCTTTTGTAGTTTGTTGAAGTCTGAGGTTATATTTCTGATTTGAGATTGTTCTTTTAAATATAGACATTTATAGCTGTAAGTCCTCCCCCTGAGCACTGCTTTAGCAGTGCTTTGGTATGTTGTTTTTGCATTTCATACATCTTAAATACTTTCTAATTTCTCCTATTCCTTCTTTTCCCATTAGCTATTTTTAAATGTGGAATTATACTTACACACATTTGTAAATCCCCCAAATTTTTTTCTGTTATTGATTTATAGTTTCATTCTTCTGTTGTTGAAGAGCATACTTCATGTGATTTTAACCTCTTTGAATGTATTGTATTTTGTTTTATGGCTTAGTATATAGACTGTTTTAGAGAATATTCTGTAAGTGCTTGAGAAGAATGTATATTCTGCTCTTGCGTAGTGTAGTGTAGTGTAAATGTCCATTATGTCTAGTTTGTTTATAATTTTGTCAAGTCTTCTATTTCCTTATTAAACTTCAGTCTAGTTCTATGGGTTTTAAATAATAGGATTATCTTGCAAGTACTTTGAATACAAGTTATCTTACAATTTTCTTTCAAACTAAAGAGCTAAGACTGAGGGACGATTAATGATGACTAAAATTTCCCTTGTGGTAAATATTTTGTAGTAAATGCATACTTCCTCTGTAGCTGCTCTTCATGGCTCATCTTTGATCATAACTGTAGATCTTTGCATGTTAGAAACTTACTTTTACACTTGTGATGTAAAAAGAAAACAAGAAGATTTAGATACTTTGTTAACCAAGCTCTCTAAAAGCAAAATTATAGTTTATATGCTAAGTATGGGATTTTCAATTTAGTAGATTCTTCCTTGTGTTTGGAAAGCTACTTTAAAACAAAATTTAAATTTTATGGAAATGAATGTATTTCTAAAATTCTTTTGTAGAACGAAAAGGGTCTTGGTCAGAGAGGAGGAATTCTAGTATTGTTGGCAGACGATCACTTGAAAGGACAACGAGCGGAGATGATGCTTGTAACTTGACAAGTTTTCGACCAGCTACTCTCACAGTGACAAATTTTTTTAAGCAGGTATTGTTCTGTCATGTAGGAATTTTGGGGAGATGTTTGTGCATAAGTTATTTTAGTTTCAGAAAGGTAGTAATTGTATTGTACATGTACATGAGGGTGATTCCAAGAAACTTAAAAACTTTGAGAATAAAAATAACTATTAAGAATGAGAAATAATTTATATTGTTTCTGCTATTTTAGCATTATATTTATTTAAATGTTGACCAAGACTAATAATGCCTCCAAATCCATCTTTCATACCTGTATCCTTTTTTTTTTCTTGAGACAGAGCCTTGCTCTATTGCCCAGGCTGGAGTGCGGTGGAACAATCTTGGTTCACTGCAACTCTGCCTCCTAGGTTCAAGCAATTCTTCCTGCCTCAGCCTCTTGAGTAGCTGGGATTACAGGCACCTGCCATCATGCCTGGCTAATTTTTGTATTTTTTAGTAGAGACAGAGTTTTGCCATGTTGGCCAGGCTGGTCTTGAAATCCCGGCTTCCGGTGATCCACCCGCCTCCGCCTCGCAGAATGCTGGGATTACAGGTGTGAGCTACTGTGTCCAGCCTGTATCCTATTTCTCAATTGTTAGTAGTGTAACTTTTCTTAAACATTGGTTGTTTATGAATTTTGTTTATGAGAATGAGTCTGTGGCTTGCATGTCTTCCCCACACAAGGATTTCTGACCTGAACTGCCATTTTCATAATATATGAAATAGAACTTTCAGGACCCAGTAGTGCATTTTGTGCTAAAGTGAGGTCAGTGTTATTTTTAGAGATGAATGTAAATAGATCCAAGGTGTTCTCTATCAAATATAATTTATTCTTTGCAAACCTGTTCCCTTCACTTTAAGTACGAGTCAAATCTGTATTTTTCCAATGCCAGTCATGATTCATAGTAGTAATGAAAATCGGCTTAGTAGATAACACCCAGTTAAAAAAATAAAAAGAAAACATGAGTAGAATTGAAAAAATAGTGCATTGCATGTAGTAAGGCTAAATATTGCTTCAGGGCATTGTTTCCCCCTCCCCGTTTTATATGAGTGTGCATATGTGTTTATGTATTTACTAAATTTTGATGTAAAATGGATTTTATATCATGAATCAATATCAGAAAGTCCGTGTTGTAAATGACCAGAAAATTTTGAAAGTCTTTGTTGTAAGTGGCTAGGTGACTAGAACTACATAGGAATGGGGAGAAAATTTGTATTAGCATAACAAACTGGAGTAATATGTGTTTTGGAGTGGATTAAGGGAAAATACTAACAATTCCTTCAGAATTCCTTTTTCTGAGATGTTATTCTAAGTAAGAAGAGGAAATCCTGTCTTACTTATACCTCATAACTTGAGAGGGCAAGAATTGAGGGTAGACCTCAATTGAATGGACCTTGAATATACAGGTAGCAATCTACTTGAAGCCTCCTTCACTTTACATATCAGTAGTATTCATAGCCAGCTGCTCTGAGAGACTCATGGGAAAAAACGCCAGTGATAAATATCTCAAATGGTATTGCTCTCTTTATTATGGACAGTAGTAAAAGAGAGTCTAGAGAAGACTACATTTACATAAATTGATAGACCAGTTATAGCTATGGAAAGGGGGCAGTAGCTTTGCTACAGTGACACAACCTTGCAGGTATGTTACTTCCCCCTCTTTCTACTTCTTCAGCTGCTACACCACTTCTGCTGCTGTTTCCACAGCTTTCTTTTCATTTCTTCAGCCTGCTATTTATCAATAAATTGATGTTGTAAGCTTAAATCAATAAGCTATCTCCCCCAATCTGTTTATCCAACAAATAGTGTTTGAGCATTCATCATCATGTCTGGACACTGTTTTGAATACTGTGATTATAACTGGGAAGTAGCACAAAGTACTTATGAAAACTTAAAAATAAGTGATTGCTGGAAACATGGAGCAGTGGAAAATGTTTACAATACAGAAAATGTTTAATGCAGTTCTGCCTTAATTTTTTTAACCATGAGCATCTACTATTTTTGTAAATATTTTTAAATAGCTAGAAAATTATGCATCAGGCAAATGCAAATTGAATTTGAAAAGAGATTACCATTTTAATTAAGAATAATTCAAGGTACAGATTTTCCCTGAATGACACACAGAAGACAGTTTTTCTTTTTCAGTTTATGAGACATTACTGTCTACAGTAGGGATATGGTAATCATTAGTGTTTATATACAGATTTAAAATGCGTTTGCCAGGCATGCTGGTTCATGCCTGTAATCCCAGCACTTGGGGAGGCCAAGGCCGGGGGGTCGCTTGAGCCCAGATGTTTGAGACCAGCCTGGGCAACATGGTGAGATCTTGTTTCTATAAAAATAAAAAATAAATTAGCTGGGCATGTTGGTGCATACCTTTAGTCCCAGCTACTTGGGAGGCTGAGGGGGTAGAATTGCTTGAGCCCAGGAGATTGAGGCTGCAGTGAGCAGTGATAATGCCATTGTACTACCAGCCTGGGTGACAAAGTGAGACCTCGTCTCGAAATAAATAAATAAAATGTGTGAAGTCAAAATTATTAGAAATATATAGATATTTAAAAACAAAGTCAAACCCACATAATAGTTTTGAAGACATTTGTTCTATTTGTTGACAGATATATAAGTTGTCTATTTCTTCAGGGGTACAGGACAATAAACAAGCAATGTAGAGGTAAGGGTATCAGTTAGACTGCTCCAGTGAACTAGGCTCATTCACAAGTTTAGAGATTGGCTGGGATCAGCTAACATAGGCTGACTTTTACTCGGAAGACAGAAATGACTCAGCTCTGTGACATGTCTCTCAAATTCTCCTCTCGTCTTCTAGGAGGCTAGCTTGGTCATGTTTTCATAGATGTGACAAAAGTTCAAGAAAGAGGGCAAACTAAATTGTGCAAATGTTTTTGAAGTCTCTCTTTGCATCATGTTTGCTTATTGGCAAAGCAAGGCATGTGGCCAAGCCTAGGGAGGGAATTGTGCCTCACTCACCAAAAAGGCATGGAAACAGGGAGTAAAGAATGGAGACCAATAATATAATTTAAATTCTGAAAGAGAAAATATAATTTAATGGGTGAAATCAAAATAATGAGGACTAGAGATAATCTGAATATATTATGAATAAAGACCATTTAAAGATCTATATTTCATGTGTGGCAACTGGTCTAAAAAAAATTTATATTATTTCTGTATACACAAGGAAAGAATACACTTTTTCTGCAACTGATGGAACATTTACAATAATTAGTAAATATTGGGTCACTGACACCTTTTAAAGTCAAATTTTCTAATAATTCAATAAAACTAAAAACAATTTTTGTTATTAATAAAAAACTATAACCACTTAGAAAATAAAATTTATTTTTTCTAAATAATGAGATAAATAAGATCAACTCTATATCCTTGTTTAGAATATAATGAACGAATGGGATATGGCTCAAGGTGAGTTGACAGTAATAAAGTAGCCTTAAATATGTTCATTACCAAATAAGATAAAAGGACAGTGTATGAAATATGCATAAAACAATAAAATATCAAAGCAAGACGATGAGATTAATAAAATCTAAAGACTTCAACAAAAGAATAAAATCAACCCTATTTTAATTGTAAGAAGAAAAAATATTAACATTAAATTGAACATTTTGTGTTAATCAGATATGGGTAATTTTTTTGTTTTTTTCTTTTCAAGGTCTCTTTTCATATTGGTTGAAGTCCTTTTGGAGTTTTTTCTCTGACCATAGTATATATCAGGATAGTTGTGATTTTCCTTAACAGTAGTTTTCCCTCCTCCTCCTCCCTCTAACTCCCTCCTCTTACTTCTCTCTCCCTCTTCTTCTTCCTCTCTCTCCCTCCTTTATTCCTTCTTCTTCCCCAGCTTATCCAGTGCTGCAGACTTTGTATTGGAGAAACTTGTGATATAAAGTTGAAAAGAAATATGAACTCAAGTGTAATAAATTTACAAGACTCAAGTATATTTATATTAGTTTGCTTTTTGATTCTATGTCTGTATTCTTATTTTTCTCTTCTCCTTTTCATGTCTCTAACTTGTATTGGTTTTCTTTATTTGAGGGTATTTTGTAATACTTTATAGGCATAGATAATGGACTATAAATAAGAAAAAATCTTAGTAAAATTTGAAAGCATAAAAAAGGAAATAAACTGGTATAATATATTTATAATCACAATTAATTTAATTTTTTTTGAGACGGAGTTTTCACTGTGGCTCTGACTAGAGTGCAGTGGCATGATCTCGGCTCACTGCAACCTCCGCCTCCTGGGTTCAAGCAATTCTCCTGCCTCAGCCTCTTGAGTAGCTGGCATTACAGGCACCCGCCACCATGCCTAGTTAATATTTTGTATTTATAGTAGAGACGGGGTTTCACCATGTTGGTCAGGCTGGTTTTGAACTCCTGACCTCAGATGATCCGCCTGCCTTGGCTTCCCAAAATGCTAAGATTACAGGCGTGAGCCACCACGCCTGGCTGTATTTGTTTTATCAAATACTTTTTCCTCTATCATTGAAATCAGGAAGGAGACCGCTTAAGTGATGAAGATCTCTACAAATTCCTTGCTGATATGAGAAGGCCGTCTTCTGTCTTACGGCGACTAAGACCTATTACAGGTATTTAAAAATTTTGAGTAGAAATGATTGCAACTATTATTATCACTAGTATGTTGTATTATAATTATGTATTCCTTTTTTTTAAATTTATCTGGCCCAGACATTTTTCTATGCTCAGTGCCTGTCAGTCTTCTTCACTTTATTAACTATCACATGATCTGACAGTTTGGATGCAGAATTTAGCATCTTTGGTACTTTGAGTACAGTAGCCCCCCTTACCTGTTATTTTGCTTTCCTTAGTTTCAGTTACCTATAGTCAACCACGGTATGAAAATACTAAGATATTTTGAGAACAGGAGACTACAATCATATTAACAGTTATTATAATATATTATTATAATTGCTCTATTATGAGTTAAGGTTATTAATATCTTACTTTGCCTAATTTATAAATTTAACTTTATTGTAGGCAGGTCTGTATAGGGAAAAACAGCATCTATAAGGTTGAGTATTTTCTGCAGTTTCAGGCATCCACTACGGGGAGGGGGGTCTTAAAATATATCCCCTGCGGGTAATGGGAGGGAGTAACTGTACTAAAGTGAGTATGATGAATAATATCACAGCTTACAGTTATTTTCTAGAATGGCAAATATTAAAAATAGGATTCCTATTATGGTTGGAGCAAACCATTCCATTGTAAAAATGTCTTGAAGTTTCCTAAGTCATATAACCTTTGAAATGTTGGCTTGTTTGTATGCCAGATCCCTCTTTTTTTTTTTCTATTTTTGCCTCTTCCCTTCTTCATTCCCATTCATTTATTTAATAAGCATTTATTATTTTACATGCATTTATGTCTGGATCGGTAATTTTTAAGTTTGAGACTTCGCAAAATGAAATGATTTAGAGGCCTGAGATGATAAATGGAATTTGGTTTCTGTAGTATTCTTCCCAGGCTTCTTGCAAAAAAGGATCTAAGTCCTTTCAAAAACATGTTTAACATGGAGTTTTAAAATTTTGTTTACATTGATTTTTAATATATTTTAATTTGCAGCTCAGCTCAAGATAGACATTTCTCCCGCACCTGAAAATCCCCATTATTGCCTGACTCCAGAGCTGCTTCAAGTGAAGCTTTACCCTGACAGTAGAGTTAGACCTACCAGAGAAATTTTAGAGTTTCCTGCAAGGGATGTTTATGTTCCAAACACTACTTACAGGTAAGAGATTTTAATTTGGGGAATATTAATAGAAGATATTGTATATTCTAAAATATTAAATATTAAAATTCGAATAGAAGATATATATTCTAAAATATTAATATTCTAAAATATTAAAGAATAAAACTCTCCAAAAATCTTCATAGAGTTTTGTTACTTACTCTCTTACTGAACAGTTTTATTAATAATTGTCACATATTAGGGCTTTCAATGTGTCAGGTATAATATTTATATTAATATTATATTATATTTATATTAATGCATATAATTACCTTGCATGCATTATCTTATTTGGTCTTACTTAATCCTCATTATTTGAGGTAAATTATATCTTTTTTTTTTGAGACAGAGTTTCGCTCTTGTTACCCAGGCTGGAGTGCAATGGCGTGATCTTGGCTCACCGCAACCTCTGCCTCCTGGGTTCAGGCAATTCTCCTGCCTCAGCCTCCTGAGTAGCTGGGATTACAGGCACGCGCCACCATGCCCAGCTAATTTTTTGTATTTTTAGTAGAGACAAGGTTTCACCATGTTGATCAGATGGTCTTGATCTCTTGACCTCGTGATCCACCCGCCTTGGCCTCCTAAAGTGCTGGGATTACAGGCGTGAGCCACCACACCCGGCTGAGGTAAATTATATCTTTACTTTAGAGGTGAGTAAACAGAAGGCTAGAGAGGTTAAACCTTTTTTTTTTAGGTGGAGTCTCGCTCTGTTGCCAGGTTGGAGTGCAATGGTGCCATCTCGGCTCACTGCAACCTCCACCTCCTGCAGTCAAGCGATTATCCTGCCTCAACCTCCCAGTAGCTGGGATTACAGGCACCCACCACCATCCCAGCTAATTTTTGTATTTTTAGTAGAGGTGGGGGTTTCACCACGTTGGCCTGAATGGTCTCAATCTACTGACCTCATGATCTGCCTGCCTTGGCCTCATAAAGTGTTGGGGTTACAGCCGTGAGCCACTGTGCCTAGCCGAGAGGTTAAACATTTTGCTGAGCATCAAACCTTAGTGTGGTGGTGATGGGATTTAATTCCTGGGTTGTTAGGTTAAAACATTTAAAGTCCTAATTAGTATGTTTTCTTAAATGTTTTTAGTAGCAGAATCTAGCATTACGCATGAATCGAATTTATATGCCTGCATTATGTTCTGACAATTAATCAACAATATTTGTTGAGTATGTACTATCTAGAGAATACTTAACTTGAAGTTGTCAGACACAACTTTTCAGGCTGAACACTCCATAACTCTGGGGGTGCCATCTGCATGTACTCTTATGAATGGTATACCCTATATTTGTGAATGCAGAGACTAGAACTTGACATGTCTGTTGGGATATTCAACAGGGTAGCTCAGGTATAAGATCCTGAAACAACTTTTGATTTAATCCTAGATTTCCTCATCATAGTATATTTCGCCACTGTTCACCAAATTTCTGAGAACAAAATTTTTGGAATAATTATGATTTCTTTCCTTTCCTTACACCTCACATTTATTCAGCCAACAAGTTATGCAGGCTCTACTTTCAAAGTATATCCTGAATTCAGTACTTTTTATCACTTCCACCTTTTAAAAATTCTAGTCTGTCACCATCTAGATCAGCACTGTCAAATAGAAATGTAATGGGAACCACATTTGCAATTTAAAATTTTATAATTGCTACATTAAAAAAGAAACAGGTAAAGTTAATTTTCATCATGTATGTCATCTAAAACAATGTTATCTAAAGTATTATCATTTCAACATGTAATAAATGTTAAGACTTATTGAGATATTTTACTTCTTTTCTCTTCTGCTAACTTCAAAATCTGGTGTGTATTTTATACTTAAAGCACATTTCAATTCTAATGAGCCACATTTCAAGTGCTTAATAACTACATGGGGCTAAAGAATACCATATTGGACAGAGACTCTGATCTCGAGTTCTGCTATACCTTTCTGATTTGGCTATCTTACTTCTACTCCTGTCTCAGTCACTTCTCAACATTGCAGCCAGATAATTCTTTGAAAATGGTAAATCAAATCATTCATTCCTCTGTCTAAATCCTCTAGTGCTTCTATTACAAGCAGAAAAAGGATGAATTTTTTCTGTGGTCTGTAAGGTTCTGCATGATTTGGCTCCTTTTCTATGTGTTATTGTTAAAACTCTAAAACTTCTTATAGTAGGGTGAAATACATCAAATAATTATTTCCTCCTTTGTGGTGAAAGTATTGTAGCCTTTTTAGGCTACTGTACAATTGTCATCTTAGAGCCTATTTACCATTATCCTGGAAATTTTCTTTGCTTTTTTTGCAGTAGAGCCCTTATTTTTCTTTCTTTTTTTTTTTTTCTTTGGGACAGAGTCTCATTTTATCACCAGGCGCCAGGCTGGAGTGCAGTAGCGCGATCTTGGCTCACTGAAACCTCTGCCTCCCAGGTTCAAGCAATTCTCCTGCCTCAGCCTCCCGAGTAGCTGGGACTACAGGTGCATGCCACCAGGCCCAGCTAATTTTTTGTATTTTTAGTAGAGATGGGGTTTCACCATGTTGGCCAGGATGGTCTTGATCTCTTGACCTCGTGATCCTCCTGGCTCGGCCTCCCAAAGTGCTGAGATTACAGGCTTGAGCCACTGTGCCGAGCCGCCCTTATTTTTCATATATTTTCCTTAGTTTACTCATTTCACTGAAAGCCTTTCATATCTTTCCTAAATAGGATGCATGTGAGGTAAATTTTCTTTTATGTCTGATGTTATCTTTATTTTATCTTTACTCTCAAATTAATAGTTTTGCCGGGTATAAAATTCTGAATTCAATATCATTTTCTGTCATAATTTTTAAAATATGACTACTGTCTTCTGGCTTTCAATAGTGCTCTTGAGTAGTCCAATATTATACTGATTGCTAATCATTTGTGTCTTATTTTTCTCTAAGACTTTTTGAATTATTTTCTTTATCACTGGTGTTCTGAGGTTTCATGTTGACATACTGATATGATGACATTTATTTAATGCTTTATAGAATATAAATTAATTTTATTTAAATTAATTTATTCAGTCATAGAAATCTTATACGTTACATAATTCTGGCAGTATTATTATTTCCGCTTCTCCACTGACAGAGGCTGAATTAAGAGACTTATTTAGACTTGAACCCAAGCCACCTTATTTCATTTTCTGTATTCTTCATTCTTTGGGATGATAGACCATCCAGCATGGAATATTATATATAATTTGAATAAAAATAAAATTTCTCATTTGTAGATAATTGTTTGCTATATTTTTGTTAAAACTAACCAGAACACCTTTATCTTACATTACCCTTAAAATCTATACCATTATTCATGTTTAATTTTTTAATGTCTTAACAGTTGGTGGAAACACTTGATAAAAATGGCATTCTGTGGTATCTTGTTTGTGAATTAATGGAAAATAGGGCCAATATAGAAAATCTAGACATGTTACAGAACTTGAATGGGAATTGAATAGAGTGCTCATACCAAGTGAGAAGTTGGTAGCACATTGTTTTCTCTTAAGGATGTATCTACTTTAATCTAACATCCTCTCCTGGAGGAGATAAAAAGTCAATACATCAAATGATTTAAGGGAATTCTATAAATTGTAGGTTAGTATGGTTTTTCTTTTTGAGTTTAATAGAAGTTATATAAACATGTATTAGTGCTTGTTTAAGATCATTTGTTTATTTGGGTTTGCTTTTGTTTTTTAAGGTGGAATGTGTAATCACTTGAAGTGATTAGTATTGGTAAGGCTAATTGATAGTCCAAAAACTATAATTAGTTTCTATTCTGAGAGTTAAAGTTTTCAAGTATAGGAATGAATTATAGCATATTAATTTGAGAATGATGTTGAAAGATCATTTACATATCTCAGTGCCTTTAGTTTGGACTGTATCTAAACACTCTTATTAATTACAGAGTTGATACTTATTCCAGACATTATTAGTAAAAATAATACTGTAGGCAAGAAGCTTTTAAAAAAGGATTTATTAGATGTTTATAGAAGAACCATTTTTCTCTCATGACTGAGCAGTTTATTTCCAGAGAATAATAGAACTTGCTAAGCTCATCATAAAGATTAGAGTTACTTCTATTAAACATTTATTGAATATGAATACTGGTTTAGGCTTTAATATTTTTCATCAAAATGAGTTGATTTTAGATTAGGGTTTTACATAACCTTATTCCTCCTTATGTACAGTTTGTAAGGAACTTACATAAAATGCTTTAACCAGTAAGCAGACACTGATAAAATGTGATACAGGATGTCAAGGCTACCAGGTTTCTTAGTTTGTGGAGATGATCCTAGTTCTCTGTTAGTAATATGTTATCAGTGAGAGCTCTTGCAACAAAAAGGATGCATTATTTTGTTTGAGAAAGAGTAATAATTTTCTAGTATAAGGGTGTCCTCAGTGAAGTAGAGAAGATTGGATACTACATGAAAATTCAGAAGTAGAACTGTGATTACTATTCTTTCTTGCCTTTTTTCCTATTGTTACTTTTTTTTGCCAAATAAACTTTCATTAAAAAAAAATTATAAAGTTGACTATTCCCTTTTAAAAATAATTAATCTCCAAATTAATATAGAGAAATAATTTTTGTGTTACTTGAAATGGTACAACTATATGTGTAGCTAATTGAAAAAGTAGGAGATGGGCTCTTATAATCAGTATTTTGTAACTGTGTTTTATTTTTAGGAATTACAGTACATTTTCACTTAAAATTGTTAATAGGTTCTTGGAAATTTAGATTTCACTAAAATGATGTGACAAAACCATTTTTTTCTCATCAATGTTTTAACAAAACAATGCTGAACAAAATGATATTATTCAAGGACCTGCTGCACCTGGTCGTTAGAGTCCTTCTTTTAAAATCACAGTTTCCAAGAATATTGTTCAGTGTCACAGTATCCATGACATTAAATGAGGACTTACTGTATTTAAAACTGAAGAATGATTTTTCCTTCCCTTAACATTAGTGTAATAAAAGTACTTATATCGTAGAAATCTGTGAGG